TCGCGAATTTTTTGACAAGAACATTCAATGTTCAATCCGACGAAAATGGGCGGTGTGAGCCATTATTTTCGCATGCAGGAAACTATGAGATTGCTGAAATACGGTCAATGAATCACTGCGTTCGGCAGCACTCGGTTTTAGTTTCCGTTCATCCGATTCGACGCTGGTTGTCAAAGGTCAACGAATGCGCTTATGTTATTTCTTCAGCTGCGTCAGTGAAATTATAGAACGGATGGAAATTTGTTACACCTAATTACTCGAATGGACGGAGGGCGAGAGAAAACTTGAGAAATTCTCGGCGACCGCTCGTATAATAAAATAATATAAAATGCGTCAATGATATAAATGTGTTCAGCGTGGTGAACTTCTAATCCGATTGTCGGTGTGTTTGCGGGCAGAGCGCGCCGTCTAGGGGTCAATTCCGTTACGTGTCGGCAGCTCGGGCACGCTGATCTTTGAAAAACCCTCTCCGGGTCACGCATCATTAGCAGCACGAGAGGCTGGCCAAAAAAAAACAAGAAGCGCCGCTGCGCGAGTCCAAAGCGGAGTCGATCGTTCGAGAGCGGGCAGGGCTCCTCCATCTTCCTCGACGGCTCGGTGAATCCTCCCCATTTCGATTTTGTTAACCTCGACCAACGGTGCCACCTTTGCAAGGTAAACGACGAAATTCCTCGAGGCAACTCCCCCTCGTTTGCGAAGATTCGAGGGTTTTTCGGGACAGGTCTGGAAGGAGACGTGCAGGCCAATCGATGGTCGAGTCTAGAAGGAAAACTCCTGCCATCGATTCCATGCGAAGTCACCTTCGCATGGGAAGTCTGATGCGCGACAAGTTCCTGCTGGTCTACCACCGCCTATCGGTGCAAAGGCGTTCCGCCCGGGGCACTTAGCAATGGTGCCAACGGTAATCGATGCGTAAGCGTTCTTGATCGAAACGTCAGATGCCTTCTCCACGGCGTCGAAGTGATCGTCGCCGTGGTCCGTCGCTGTCGTCCATCGCGATGTCAAACGATGGCAACAATCAGAATCGAAGCAAAGCGACCCCATATCGGGCATGTTCCTTGTTTTCTTCCCGTTCACTGGATCCGATCGGCGGCGCGACCGCCACCGTTAAGAGAGCGGGAAGGAATAATCATTAGTCCCAGAGAAAACATTCGCTTTCCGGTCTCCGGAAAGGATGTATCGGAAGAAGACCTCTTTGCATGAATCGCAATTAAACACGTCAGCCATGACTCGGCGGATCGATGAGCGGCGTGAGCGATCTGTGAACGAGTTAGCTGCTGAACGGGCGGATATTTTTGTGCTTTGCCTCCTCTTCTCCCCCTACCCCCACCTCCGTCCAACCCCTCCACCATGACCAGAGCGCAGAAGCTTCTTCTGCTTTTTTTTCTCCTCGACGGATCGACGTCTTCGCCGGTCGCGCATCGACAGCAGCGGCCGCTCGAGTGTCAGTCCTCCTCTCTTCAGACGGTGCCCTTGCCCCGTTGCTTCAAGGAGTCGCGTGACGGGGCCGTTCTGAAAAGTATTCGGTCCAGCCGAAAGCTGACGGGGGCAAATCTGCATCGGTGCGCCAACAATGGGCAACTCTGTGTTTTGTGTTTCGCTCTGACAGCGCAAAGCAGCTACGGCGGCCACCGAGTCGCTATACATAGCTGGCTGACCGGTCGACCACTCAACCGGGCGACCCACCGAAAGACCAGCCGAATAGCCGGCCAGGTCTTCCACACGATCCGCCGCCAGGTAGGAGCCGTGCGTGTGATTCTTGTGAAGTTCAGAGGAAAAATTCAATCTCCGAGCTTCTACGGCAATGTAGGCCGGAGAGAGGAACAGTGCTGCCGTAAAATCGGGGCTGTCAGTCAAACGTCATCTCGCCCTGCGGCACCCACGGTCCCGTGCAGGCGAGCACAGCGTGAACTGATAGGTTGGTTCGATCTTCTTGCCGAAAGCAGCGTGGAAATTCGAGGCGATTCCGTAGTTTGCGGCACGCGCGAAAATCTTCATGTGGAAGCGAGCTTGTTTTCATTTACCGGGCGAATGTCTGTTTTTAGCGAAGTTCTCCGTACCTTCCTCGCCATTCATGAAATCATATTTTCCGAATTCTGCTTCCCGAAATCGTCCGGACCTCCGAGAAGCAACAAGATATCGCGCTCAACGCTTTCAACCGAATTCCCGGGATCTTACCCGAGGGAGCTGACCAAGAAGAACGACTCGCTTCTCTATTGAACGAAGCTCCAACGGTGGCTTTTCTCCGCTCGTCCCCGTCTCCCAATCAATTATGGTGGAGGCTCATTAAATATGGCTGGACGAGCCCCGTCGCTTTTTTGTTGCCGTTCGTTTCGTCTCTCTTTTCTTTCCTTAAATTTAACAATGATGAAGCCCCCATCGCATTTACAATACCGAGGCACGGATTCACGTTCGAGCGTTTCATCACCTCGCCTATTGCTGCCAATGTCGACTAGAAATTGCGTTGATCGTTGTTGCCACCCAGAGATTCGGCTGCTGGAGCTTCCTCATAGCTCGTCCACGGCCTTGCGGCGCTTTCCGATCAGAATTCCTTAAACGAATGAAGTGAAGAAAGAGCTTCGGATCCAAGAGTTAGGCCCCCCAATCCAAGTAGCGAGGGGAATACGCCCGGAATACGCAGCTATACGCCCAGATTGGATGCCTTCCGGCGAAGTGTCTTCTGTTTTCGCTTCTATCATCCCCTTCTCTTTCCGATCTCCTATCATGAAAGATTCCCTGATACTACCGGTCGGCGCTACGCCAGCCCCCGAGGGCTCACGGAAACATAGGGTCCACACTTGAAGGATTGCTTGGATACTTTCGTTCAGTCTGTTCACGTTAATGGATCATTCGAATAGATTTTTTGTATTTTCTTCCGAGTCTCAAATCCGGACTCCCTCCGTCGGAAGAAGCCTGCGCAATCGACCCGTCTCCGTCATCTTAAGAGGGTCATGTTCTCGTCACTCTCTCGGTTGTCGAAGTTGTCTTTGTTGTCGGCGTCGATGTCGCAGCGGCATCGTCGATGGTGTCGTCGCGGTCGCTCTTGATGACAAGAAGAAAGTCTCCCGAACCTTGACGAGCCCAAGAGTTTCCGATGCAGCGCGTCGATGAAGCGTTCACAACGTGCGTGAGCAAACTTCACTGAGCGCTTCACAGAAACGGCCAGGCTGAAAAAACCTCCTGATCGTCACATTATGGAAAATACCGATTCTCTTATATTATGATTAGAGCCCGTGACTTCATGCAAAATGCATATATTGCATAAAAATTCATATCCTGGGCTTTACCCCTCGAAAATGCATATTCCGGGCTTTGAAGCATAATTCTGCATATCCCATATTTTCCCCGCCGATTCTCGCGAGAATCCGACTCTGAGAGCGACGTACAGCCACCCCAGCCAGTTTTGACAATATGGGGTCCTTGGTTGAACGCAGCGGTTTATTACGCCCACCACCCTGATTCATCTTCGGAGGTTTTGGACGCTCTGGACGTCAGTGACGCTGCGAGCATCGGAGCGGCTGCTCAATTAGTGAGGAAGCCCTCTGCAAGGGACAATCTCGCTTTTATGAAAGCAAACTTCGGAGAGCTTCCACATGCCATCGAGAAACTGGAAACGAAGGGACTGTATGTGGTAGAAAGCGTGGGTATTTCCGAGGCGCTCGTGAGATATCTCAAGAAATCGCCCGGTGATGTTGGGGAGTTCAGTCCGCAGGAAATGCGATGCGGTTGTGATTCGTAATAGCGGCTTCAGCGTTCTGAAGGATATCAGGACGTACTACAGGGAAACAGCTCCGCGGATCGTCGCATTGGCCGCAGGCCGTCGGAGATTGCCTGCTTCAAGTACGCATCGATTACGTCGCTTGATGTTGAGAGGAGCTTCTCTAGTTTGGAGCGCCTTCTCAGCGACCGTCGTCAGAGTTCTACGTTTGAAAATTCGAGGATGCATCTCATTGTCTACCGTAACCCGTAATTTAAATTGTGCATGTTTTAAGTCAGGATTGAGTCAATCTCAAAAAGCATCATAAAAGCTGCACGAAGCTCTTAATTTCTTTGTGTGCATATTTCTTTTTTATAATGCATATATCGGCCCTTTTTCAGGGCATATTTGCATGCATATATCCGGATTTTATAGGGCATGAAGTCACGGGCTCTAATTATGATATTTTTCTCCTCCACGGTATTTCCATAAGGGACGCTCCGATCATTGATTCGGACTCGGATAGGAGATTCCCCCAAGGCGGGCCTGTCCGCTCGACCAATTCTGCGGGAGAGAGCACTACTCCCTCTTTCGGAGAGAGCTGAAGAGCTCTTCCAAGTTGAATTTCTGTCCGGTCCTTCAACTGTAGGTGATTCGTGGATCGTGAATACTCTTCACGACGCAATGGGTTGGCTGGGGAGCGCCTCCACAATGGCTTCAGAAGATAAACTTGTCACATTGTTGAAGGGAGCGACTTTCAGGACTTCTGACGATCCCTGCACGCACGCATCCCAACGCCTGACCATGAAGTTCCGCATTTTCTCGAAAATTCGCTCTTTGCCAATCGCCTCGTCTTGAAGTCGAAATCCAGATCTTTTGAACCTGCTCAGCTTGGCTGAGCGTGTCGGATTTCATAGATGCTGAAAATACTTGACTTGTCCTACCCGCCGCAGCCGAGCTCTGCTTAGGTATTGGTAGTCGTTAACTTCTGTATGTGACGGCGGAAACGGCGTTTTCCCACGGACCGAGCGGGTTGAGGATAATCCGGATCGTCCAGACGCGATGGCCGCGTGGAGGGAGATCCGGAGAATTTTCTCCCACGGTCCTCCCATCGCAAGCGTCGAATTAAAAACATTCGCAGTAAATATTGAGCCTCGTTTCCTCATTTGCAGGGCTGCAGCCTTGTTGCGCGACTGGTGCGGCACTCCGGTCGACATGGGTCCCTCCGAGCGGGTCGGCTTTCAGGATGACGTGAGACAAAATCGAGAACCGTGGGTCTGGAGGGTTCACCTCCAAATTTGACATGGGCAGCATGTGGTCAGCGCATCAAACAGCATCGTTGGCAATGCTGGAAAGGGCTCCCAGCGTTGAAAGACTCAATCAACTCAAGGAAGAGAACAGCTCTTTGAAAAAACAACAAATAACCAGGAAGACACCATCCGACAGTAAGTCAGCTTTTCGTTTTTTTCCGCTTTTCTCCATCATCGCGCCACTCGTCTCGAAGAATCCACGCAAAGTGAATCGTTTGAGGAGATCATCATTGACCGATGCTCGGCCTGTTCTCGGGAGCATCATCATGATTCCATTCAGATTGTGATGAGTGATGACGGCTGGGGCACTGTGACAATCCAGGCTGGGATCCAGCTGATTTCTGATTTAGACCGCGCTCAGAATTTCAGCGCAAAATTATCGGCGTCCAGCTGTGCTGCCAGAACGAAGACAGTTCACTATACTTATAAGAGCTCTTTGACGTACTTGTTCATCCCCCACGCTGAATCAGCTGAAAAATCTGCGTTTCGCTTCGCGCTGGCCGCCGATATCGAGAATTAGATGCTTTGCTCGCCGGCACGCACTGTCTGCTCGTCCATCTGACAAACAGACTAAGTGGCTGGTTCGTTGGAGTCCTCATGCAATTTTCTGCCCCAATAAGCTTCGCGCCTTTCGAACCTAGCGGGCATGCCGCTTTCGCTCGGCTCCGTGAGAAGATCGGTGGGAGAAAACAATAGCACTCAGTCTGGGGAAGTAACGACTGCGCGACGTGATTCCGATCGCATCCAGCTCGGAAACTGGAAACCCGATCGTAGAGATTTAGATGGGACGGTCGTGTTCCCGGCTCGAGGAGCTTCCGTGGGTCGTTCCGTCGCTGATATTTACATCATGAATATTCATATGCAAATCGCATCGCGTTCATCTCTCAGCGAGTCTACTGGCCGAGCTCCCCCTCCTCCTCCTCTCTCCTCTGGGATTCAGGGAGAGACGACACGTCGCTTATACTGATCGAGTTCCAAATAGAGTTTTCGACGATTGAACAATATCTTTCTCCAGGTTGAAAACGAAGCTGTCTCGCGTGATAGCCCTCGCCAAAAGGTCTTCAACCGACCCGAACACCGCTAGTCAAATCAAATTCCACGAAGAAAGTCTGGTGCTTCCGAACGGAACGTCGACTCCCCAGCCGTTTCCAAATGAATTCGCAACTCCGGCGAATCCACCACGCGCCAGAAGCGCTTCACGAGGCCGATTGGTGAGCAGTGCGAGACCCCGGACAGCGCGAAACAACCCCGAGACCGTGAGCTTAGGTCTTCTCGAGGAGGCTCACACGGAAATTTGCACGCTGTAAGTACGATGAATGCCAGTATCAAAATCGAATCCCTTTGTAGAAGCGGCCCAGCTGACCCTGGCGGTAGGTATGGGACGGAGGTCCACCGTCGCTGCCAAGACTCACAGGCGATAGTCTCCAGGTTAGATAGTTTACTCCTTTGCCGGCTTGGATCTCGTGCCACATTTCCCGTACGAATCCGAAGCGGAAGCGCCACCGGATGCGACGAGAGCACGAGTAGTCGGGTTCTCCCCTATAGCTCCAGCCGCACTGACGCCGAATGGAGCTGCGGTCGATAACGCTGACGATGGCGGGGCCAGCAGCAGCTGCTGTGTCCTGCGCCTCAGGTTTCGGGCTTTCCGGACAACGTTTCGCGCGCTCACTCAAACCTTGACAAACGACTCGTAGCCCTGGTCTACCCGCCGCATCGTCGGCTCGCGTTGGCCTCCCCCAAATTGTGTCCTATGGTGGGACACTTGGGGTTCGTCATGCGGTTCCCTCATAGACTGAAAGTTGCTATTTATTTGCAGTAAAGCTGAGGCGTCAAGACGCGCGGAAGAGGTCGCTGAATGGCAAATAGTAGCTCAGAAGCTCAACAGCGAGCTGAGCTCTCAACGCCAGCAGAAAACTGACGTCGAACAAAAGCTCTGTCAGGTACAGCAGAATCTCCTCAAAGCCAACAAAGAAATCCAAGTCAAAGGTATGAGGGAAGAAATGAATAAAGGGTTCTCTCCAAGAATTCCCACTCAATCCCAACGTCCGTCTTTCATCATTCCGAGATATATTCCATCTGTCGGAGCACAGATGATATTTAGATTGGTTTTTCCCACGTGACTCTCCTAACCTCGCTCGACTGTCCCGAAAGTCGTCAACGCCACAAGTAGCGGCCACGCAAATCCCGTCGCCGGTTTTTGACAACGCCGTGCTGCGAATACTCCTATCATGGTCGGGAAAGAGACGAATTCTTGGGGAAAAAATCACGGCTCGCTTTGTATCTGATAATTTTTGAGCGGGAAAAAAACTCGATTCGATCAAAGCTGCGGCCGAACTCGTCCGTGGACAGCCCTGATCCGATGGCTTTGAGACCACGATGATTCTCACATTCCAGAAACTCAGATCGAAGCTCTGCAAGCGGAACTCGAGGCCAGTCGACTTCTCCAGGAGCAAGTCGAAGCTCAAAATGCCAAACTCCTAGAACTCGAGCAGGCTCTCGCTCAGAGAGAAACGCAAAGTTCGGTTGTGCAAGAAGTGAGTTGCTTTCTCCGTCTACTTAAGCTCAGATGTAGCCCCTCGACGAGCGGCTCGTGCGGGATTCCCAAGAACGTCGGCGACGCTGTCGTAACCATGCGCACGGGGTTTCCGAAGGAGAGGAAAAGAAATGTACTTGATAGGGAGAATGCTATTCCAGCTCCAACAACGGGTCGGAGAACTGGAACGGGAGCGCGATATCGTGCAGGATTCGAATCGAAAGCTTATTGAACAAAGTGAAGAACTCAAGGAACGAGTTGCTGCCCAAGAGAGACAAGCGGAGGCCGCTGAGCAGGATGGAGACCAGGGCATCCTGCAGGACATGCTTCTCCAACTTCAGGGTGAGTGGCTAGAGGGTATGGGAGCGTTTGAGAGCGGTCCGCCTCGGACTAGCGACTAGCAGCAGTGTGGGACTCAGGTGGAGGTGGGGGCACGTATGGGAACGACCGAAACGGGTCCCGCAATGGAATGGAAGAGGAAGGGGAAAGGTGCGGTTCGGAAGACCAAGAGCGGTGGGCACGCAAGTCCAGTCAGCAAATTGGGGGAGACACGCGATAGCGAACGGGAGCGTCGGCGGTGGGCACGTTGCATCGGACTGCAGGCAACTTGCGGCGAGGCAGCTGAGGGAAACGATCGAGAGGCCACCGACGACGGAAAGCATAACATACATATTTCCCTTCTGCAACGCCCGGGAGAGGCACGGCAATAATTTCGTTCTCTTGGCCGTCGATTTGCAGACAAGTTCGAGATGCTCGAAAGACATATCGACAAAGTCGTTAGCGAAGCTAGAATGGCAAAACCATCGTCCAAAGCGAAGGAGAAATTCCGGAAGCACGAACGAATCTCGCTCCAGGCTCACAACAGAAAAGAAAAATCCGACAGCCAGAACGGCAACAACCACCTTCAACATCAACAACAACAGCAACAACAACGCGAAACTTCAGCGAAAGTCGGCGGCATTTACGAGAAGAGCAAATCGAAGCCAAAACTCATAATTTCCAACGGTGAGCATTTCGGAATCCGTTCGTGCCAGGGACCCAGATATCGGAAAGTCTCAGCTGGGTCTCGCTCGGGTCAGCTCGATCAATTTCTCGCAAGAATAGGCAAAAAGTCCACTTCAACCTCTAAGGCGAAATTCGGGAGAATAATAATTTTGAGGCCGATCTCAGGGATGCCGGAAACATATCGGAATAATCGAAGAATCCCGAGTCGCTAGAAATACATGTCAGGATATCGCTCATTGGAAATTCTACTGGAGAGTTCCTCATGTTTCGGAAGGAAGAACACGAGTCTTGGCGGGAAAAAGTTTTTTTGGAGCCTAGCATGAAGCCGTCTTTCCATTCTCGCCTGAAGCGGCTCATAAAGTAGTACCTACTTCAATTTAGGTCTGAGCGCTCCTCAACCGAAGCCGCGTCGGAAATCCCTCGTCAAAGAAAGAATGTCGACAAGTTCGTCCCGGGAAAGTTTGGACTCCGACAACAGAGACAGCTTGTTGGATGCGAGTCTGCCCAGCAGAAGACCTAAATCGAGGATCACTCTCAATAGAAATTGCGCCATGCTGCGGAACGAAGCAACTCAAACTAGTCAGTACGTATATTATGTTTGACCGGAGCAGGAGCGTTGGCCATCGCGTAAAGAGACTGGAGGTCCCACGGAGCGCAGCATCATCGCCCGCATCCTTGCGAGAGGAATAGACCGAGCTCCACCCTGTGAGTGAATCCCTACGCTTTGCAGATCCAGCCCAAAAAATGCTCCTTCGTCGCAACGAGTCACTCAAATCACCAAAATATTATCGGTTAGTGTCGCCTTGTCCTTCCTCTGGAAATTCTGGTCTTCATTTTTCCTTGGGCGTATCAGCCCGACGCTCAAACTTCATAAAGAGAATTATTATTCTGGTACGACGTCCTGCCTTTTCAAAATGCTCCCGGTCAGAAATCCTCCGCCTTATCGTCGACATCGCTCCCGCCATTCCCAAAGAGGGAGTTCGATCGACCGAATGATTAATTTATTCAATTCTGCCTCCAGAGTGACGACAGCATCAGCGAAGCTACTGACGTATCATTGTTGGATGTCAACGCTCCAGTTTTTGAAATTCACATCGACAAGGTAAGCAGGTCTCCCAGAGCCCATATCGATAGTCAGTCTATTCTCGTATCTCGTACGAAAGGATATTCCAAATCTGATTGCTTGTGGAGCGACGCACACACGCGCACGTCAAAGCGACTCTCGATACCAAACGACCGATCTCAGAGTGAAGTACTTCCCCTCCATGACAGGCTCGTCTTGTATCGCCGCAAACGAGAAAGGGAACTGTCGTGAGCTGGGAACTCGGTGATTTCGAGACTCAGTCAACCCCCGTTGGCCATTTCTGCGAAGGAGATATCGTATTCAACTGCACAGCGCGCTATATCCTGGAGAGCACCGAACAGATAAGCAGCGCCGAGCTACGACTGCTGCTGTCCACGACCGACGGTGAATTTCTAGGGGAATGTTGTGTCGATAAAACCAGCTCGGCGATCTCGAACGCCGGTCGACGTGTCGTTCAGAGGTAAAATCTTTCGCTACAGTTGGAGCTCGCAGGATCGAATCGAGCGAACATTTCTGTATCCTCTCGAGAAATGAGTACTCGATTCGGATCGAGAGATCGAGGTCGTTCGCGTCAGAAAGCAATAACTTCCAGACTTTCATTTCTCCTTCCAGCGAGGAGCTCCGCTCGGACGCCGGGTCCATCGGTAAACTCGACATGTGGCTGCGATACATCCCGAAACCAAAGTAGCGGAAAAGTCGATGAATGACAACTTGCTCCGCTCGGGAGGTCTGCCACGGTGGGGGAAGTTTTCCTCGATGACGGAAATTCTCGCTCGCTGTTCCGAAACCTGCGCGCTGCCAGTGCAGTTGAGCCTGGACGACGGATCTCATAAGCGAAGCTGACGTGAACGGAGACGCAGAAGGCGTCCCGTCCTGTTCAACGCCACAGAGGGAGGCGACAGCGGTTTAGCGACGCAATCCGGCCGAGCAATGCCACATAAACTGGTCGATATCGAGAATCAGTTGCGACCGAGCAGGGCGTTACAAGGAAAGCCGAATTTCCGCTCCGGTCATTGTACAAACGAGAAATATGCATACATACATACATTCATACATACGGACATGCGATCGTGTACTTCCGTTCGATCATCATCTCATCCGTTCATACATTCTGTGAGCATGTAGAGGTGACCCGGATGTCATCTTTTGGTGCAATAAACATGTATATTCTCGTGTTTGCATCGGTCTCATCATTTTCTGACTCGCACCCACCCCTTGTTGAGCGTCATTTGGTCAGGAAGTCGCCGGGGAACAGCAGACCGATGAAAGTAACATTCCGATTGAGCTTGTCAAGCGGCTTGCAGCCGTTTCAGGAAAAGGTTCGAGAAGACCGCCCGCCGTTTTTCGTATTCCTCCTCGCGTTCGGCTTGGAGAAATTGATGCCGACTCGGACAGCTGATTCCAAATGTGCGCAGCGATCTGAACCTTTCAAATCGATTTGCATCGAGAAAAAACTATCACGCTCCTGCATGAATACCCCTCAAGTAGCCCAACGCAGATAAGCTCCTGGAGTTGAACTTGACTCATGAGGGGTATTTCTAGACCGAAGTTTCAGCCCGATCTGCGGGTTACATGTTCAGCGCTCCTTTTGTGAGAGCTTCTGTGTACGACTCACGAATGCAGACATCGGAAATCGGATCAATGCTCATGGGTAATTCGAGGTACGCTACCCGCAAGATTAGGGAACCGAGTTGCGTTCTTGTCTGTCTGAACCGCGGTCCCCGCATCCTCGAGCTGCGACTCTCGATGCGGGACTCCCGTCCGACGAGGAAGGATTCTGCCATTCCGAGAAGTTTACGGATATCGATTCCTTACGCACAGAAGCTGATACCCCGAAGCTACAGGACGACGCGACGTGAACGAGGTATCAACGAGGGACGATGAGCTTTTTCTGGAAAGATTGATGATCGGCGATGAGAAATGGATGGTCTAACACAGAGGGGACATAGAGGTAACACGGCGAGCTGACCGAAACCGCAGTGGAGATACCTGGCGGGAGAAAAAAAATTGGTCGTAAAGATCGGCATTCCTCAGCCCGGTGGTACGGCTCCCAAGGGAGGGGGATGAGGGCGGACTTTCCCTGAGAGGCGTGGAGGTTTCGTTTCGGTTCGTTCCAAGCTGCGGACGAGTCGGGATCCGAGCCAGCGGGGAGGGGCAAAACAAACAACGAGTCGAGAACCGCTGGTTCAATGAATGACGAAGTCATTTAGTTGACCAAGAAAGTGCAAGCGAACGATGCGGCGATGTAGGAACCGATCTCACAGCTATGCGACTCCCAGAATCGAGAAAATTTCCGAATTCAGTTGCGGAAGGGGGCTCATCACGTTGGAGTCGATCGGATGCCGAAATGAGAACCTTCCCGCGGCGGCATCTGTCGCCTCCCTCGCGACTCATAACATGTGGTGTTAATTATATTCGGGGAAGGAAAGACAACGTGACGCGCCGCTATCGAGAATCACGTCCGAGAAAACCCACGCTGGCCAACAGGCGCGCCACGAAAACCCCGGCTCGGGCTTCGAAGTTTCTGATCCGATTAGGTGGGACTCGGGAACACAGATTGGGCGTCGGAGTCGGACGTTCTCTCAGCGGACGGCTGTTTCGATTGGTTCGATCAGCTGCGGAGAGTTCAGGAGAAGCGCCGTCCAAGTCTAAACATCCGTTCGGATGCCCGGAGGAAAATCCGAGGCAACAGATGCGGCAGAGAGGGAGCTCTAGCTAGCATCGAATTGACGGAAAATTCCGCGGACGCCCTCGAAACGTCGCCGAGAATGACAACACAACAGCTGCTGTGGATTGACATGGGATGGAAACGCACAGTTCGTCGGTCGTCTTGGCGGCAAAGACCGCCGCGTCCCCAGAAAGGAACCGGGGAGAATGTCCAGCGGGAACTGGGGAGACTGTCTTCCACTCACTCTTCTCGCCGAAGCGCACACGGAGTGAAAAGCTCGCGTGGAGCTCCGGGAATCGCGCTCGAAACCCAAGACTCGTCGAATAAGAAAACGGAACAGAAGGAAAACACGTTTGAATATGGAAATTGACAGAGAGTAAGGGGAAGAACTCGAGCCGCTGACGACTCGCCGGATTTCTCCGCTTCCGTGAAAGTATAGAACGAATCGTTCGCTTGACAAAGAACCACGGGTACTGGCGGCGGCCGCGGCGGCGCGCTCGCGTCGGGGTCTCCGAGGACGAATGAGAAATCACCTTGAAGTTTCTCTATTCTCTGGGTTGCTATGCACAAGAATCCAGATTATTGAGGCTTGACAACCGGTGAAAAATATTCTGTCTACCTCGAGTCTTCGGCTAGGAGACGAGCGCTCTTTTCCCGGACGGCACAGAGAGTCCAGCCTGCGCTCAACGAATGTTTGAAAGGCAAACGTCTAGCCCCTTAATCAAGATTTTCTAGGAGCTGCTCTCTGAGGACTGACTTGATGTCGATCATCATCACCAGGAAAACTTGGAGGTTTGCGCCCCTGGCTCGCGCCGCGCGCCGCCACTCTCGCCTGACAGTCCGTCCCAGCGTGTGAATGATGAGGCGACGCACTAACGAGATCTTGCATCGAACATTACAGACAAGTCAATAGATCCCAGCACCTTGTCGGTCTAGAGTTTCCACAGTCCAAGACGGTAAGTTCTGCATGGATCTCTGAAGTGAGTCTCGAAGATCCTCCTGAGGAGGCTTACCTCGAGCTCAGGGTTCGAATATCGATGTCCCCCGATCTCGTTGGGGATCAGACGCGGAGTAGAAGTTGGCCATCAAGAGAGAAGTTTAGTGCGGCTCTGATCCGCTAACTTCTCCCTCAGTGTTTATACCCAGTCGACCTGCGTTCGCGTGCCCACGTACGCATCCCATGAAATACAGCTCAGTCAGTCATATGATCTTTATTTGCCATCGGGTGTTTAATATCAGTCGGGCTTGTTCGACTCCACCTACATCCTCGCTGACGGTCGTCCTGCTTCAGAGATGATCACGAACAGCTGAGTGAGATGTCACCAGCCCAAGTTCCTCGTCGTATGGGGTGAATGGAGTCGTGAGCGATCTCAGCGTCACTTTGGCGGCTCAAGCTCGGTCTCTACCGCTGCCAGGGGACCAATGGTTTCCAGGTGGATGAGTTCACAGATCAGATCCAGGAATCGATATGCTCCCTTTCGGACCACAACATGCGACAAGTCGGATAAAAAACAGCCGAATCGCTGTTCTTCGGTCATCGTGTAGCTCGGCCCGTGCCATCACTCAAAGCAGGCGTGTCCTCGAGGAGCGCGTTGGGTGTGTCCATTGGGTTCTTTACGGCCACTAGCTATGTGTTCACCGGCGTAGACCACGCCCAGCAGCCATCAGCTTCCGTCCATATTAAGCATCACCGTCTCAGAAGCATTAGACGAATTGCCTCGCCCCAGAGTGATGAGACCTGTGACTATCCTCGGGTGAAGGGACAATGCTTTATTTGAGCAAGCAACTTTGTTCATCCTCGAAACAGAAAGACATCCAGTCGACAAGAAAAACACTTTTCTAGGTTTCAATTGAAGTCATTCCTCGCCCATAATGCTCGTACCAGAAAAGCAGATTGTCATGATACGTGCTTGCAGAATGGAAATCGTTGCCCGGAATCGTGGTCAGATCTGAAGCTTGCACACTGCGAAGGCACCGTCGGAGAATCGGACGACTCTCCAGATTCTCTCCCGAACACCTCCGCTGCTCTTCATGAGGATCGAGGCACTTCGAGATGCGGAAGTCGCGAATGGATTCAAACGGAAACGCGGTTCACATGAGAGCCCACGATCGAAGAAAAGCAGAAGTTCTGATTTCTTCCAATGGGAATTCCTTCGAGCGAATCCTGGTCTGCGTCTTCTCTCCACCTGGAGTCTCTGAAAGCAAGTTGGTAGCGCTGCCGTTGTTTTCCCAACTGAACTCGAACCCCGTTCTGCGATACAGTCTGTCAAACGAGCGGGTAAGTCTTGAGCAACAACATCGTACAGAAGCTCGAGTTAGCTATCCATCAATCTTGACACCGGGGTATACGTCGAAGGCATGCGCGTAAGGACGTACGTTCGTCCGTATGTGCGTGAGACGGTGCTCCATCAGTTCCACTATAACGACGGATCGGCCCGATGCACATCAAGCATCGTTACCGTACAACTGCCATTAAGATGTACGTCGTCACGTCCGCCGATGTTTCCCAGGAGCTGTTCTATCCGTTATGTCGAACCTGTTTCTCTTGGAGTCTTTCCTTCTCCATTTTGTTCGATCGTCGTTTTCCCACGGAAGAACAGCAGCAGAATCGATGATTATCGCAGAGGAGCTTCGCAACGCCCCAAATGGAGGAACTCCTAACTCAAAAACCTCATTTCTCCCGACGCATTTGAATGACATGAGTTGCAGCTTGTGATGGATTCACGAGAATTCATTTTGTTGCCGACGATGAACACTCGGAGAATCCGAAGACAAACGTGACGCGGAAAAGAGTTTTCGGAGGAGAAACACTCCTTGCATTTCCTCCTCCGCTCGAGTCAGGTGTCATTTGACAGCTGTCATTTCTGAGTTCTTGAGACGCTCTTCCACGTTTACGGCAACGACGACGAATACGGCGACAAGGAGTACGGCAGAAACGACAACGCCGACGGGAAACGCTCCGAACGCCATCAATGTCATGTAGAAAGCTGAGCCCATTTTCACAACAAACCTGGAGGATGCTCCACAAGCAAAACTTGCGATGAGGATGGAAGTTCCCCAACAACGGAACACAGAACGACTTCTCCGGTACGTGGTCTCTGAGGATCTTTGCTGAAGATCTCTGCTTCAGAGCGAGCAGTATTTTCCTTCTCCCGGAGAGAGGAGTCCTGATTATTTTTCGGAGAGTGTCGATTTCCTTGCGGCATATTCGTCACGCACATTATTCGTTGAGTAGAATTAGCATAACAGAGCTGCTGGTTATCTTGAATCGATCGGATAACCCCGCGCGGTTCTTCAATAGGAAATATCCGGGTATTTTATTGGACACAGACTTGAATACGGATTCAGAAATAACAGAAAATATCTCACCGGTGCCGATCGACTTCAAGCAGACATCATCCACTAAACACTTCTCCTCAAAACAGGGAATATCAAATGAAGCGGAAAAAATAGAAAAACCCTGTTTGCGAATTACACCAGGGATAGACGCATCCTTGTTTCCTTCATGACCCGTCTTCCGCGGAAATCGACGAAACTCAACCGGGAAGACGCATCTTCCTCCTACCTGGAGATTTGTTATAATCGATCTAAAATGTTCCGATCGGGCGCGAGGTGCATCGCGTGGAATGAGAACTCGTTCCGATGAAAGCTCATTACCTTCTCCTCAATCGGAAGCTGGCGTTGAGGTCCTCGCGCTTGTTTCGGATGCGCCGGATCGGTTCAGGTAAATTCGATTGGAATGCAGCCCGTTGCCCTTCAGCCCAGAAAGACGGACTCCATTTTCATCCTCTGCCGCTCTTGATCTCGACAAACGCTCCCTAGAGGAACCATATCGACCCCGATTTCCATGGGAATCGTTGAGGGAAGTCTCTCCTTTCGATGCGGAAGCTCGAGTCGCTCACATTGGTGACCTCGTCCGTCGAGAATTTCGGGAGCTCACCGAAACTCCGCTAAACGATTCCGTGAAAATTCGGCACATCTGGAGCTCGCGCAAGAAAAAAATAGCGCGTGTGAGAATTTTGCTATCCGGCTCATCGTGAAGAAACCGAAAGTTTCGGCTCTGACGGAACAGTCCCATGATGGAACATCAACTCTTGAAATGGGTCTCCTTACAGAGGTGTGCCAGAGGCTTGTCCGGGGACCACCATCAGTGGAGCTCTCATGAAATGGAAAAGTCAGCGACCATTGCTCTCAAACCGTGCTCCTCCTCGAATTGAATCAGGGTGTCTGGATCGGGGCTCTCTGGGATGGCGAGAGTTTGTGAGAGAGCTTTCCGATTTCTAGTCCGCTAGGCGTAGCTGGCTCCCTGATGTGTTCTCTGCAAGATTCTCATAATTTACCTCGGAGCCGTTTTCCTGTCACGCGTTTCTTCGTTCCTCCTCTCCGAAGCTTCCGGGGATATCTGCGCTTGATCGTCCCTACGAGAAAGAGCATATAACCAGGTATCGAGGAGGATCAGAGAAGCCATCATCATCTGAACACCGCCCCCCATTGGACGTCCCGTGCATCGGGGAAGGTGACCTCATAACCCATTTCATTTGGAGTACTAGACTCCACGAAGCGTCAGGGGCACGTATCGATTAATCACGTCTTCCAGAAGCATGCATCCTTAGCTCTTGGTGAGGTTCCTTCCGGTGTTCCGGTTTGCGGTCCATTCGAGGAGACCATCCTCGTTACTTGAACGCTATCGCCACCCTCCGCGGTCTCCTCAACGTTGATCTCATGATGTGCTCTCTCATAGCCCTCGGCGCTTCCAAGAGCGACTGCTCCATCGAAGGATTATTCCAGACTCGATATGAATAAGTCCTCCGCTGGCGGTCAACTTACCACTGTGTCAGCTACGGTAATCCAAAATCAATTCCAGACACCGTGTCATCCCTCCGAGTCAATCATAACCGCCAGGCTCACGCGTCGCGCTGTCGGCTCCGTTCGTCACGAAATTCATGATTCTTCCGGGGATATCGGGAATCGTTCCCGGACTGAGTGAGTTCTATAAATCAGTCAGGCCGAGAACAGAAAAAGTAAAATCCATTTTCGGAGATATAGACTCATCGAGATCCGCGAATCCCGCACTTGGAAGGTTTTCTATTCTCTAACCAAACATGCTTGTCAAGGCTTCTATCTTCGGGCTTGCAGCAATTCTTGGGCTCGCTGCGAGCCAACTGACCCGAGAGAACATTAAGAACGCTAAAGAGTGTGTTTTCGGCGCGCCGTTTTCGGCCTATGGGGGTTATGCGTGGTCTCGTCTCATCTGTGGCCCTCTGACTCGTCAAGCGAAATACGCCATCGGGCAAGCCGAATTCCGCGGATTGAGCCACAACGTGAGTATCAATAATAATTGAAGCTCTATCGATAGGTATGTAGACACGATGACCTTAGCTGAGCCATGGAACCCCTGCGTCAGAGAGAGCGAAAACCGCTGATTGGTCATCATCCGTCATGCGTTTGTTCCTTTGTGAGAGTTAGGAAGCCATGGTCTCAACTCTAGATCGAGTTATTAGGCAGAACTCGAGTTTCGGAAAGAATTCGAACTGACTAGTGCAGCCTCACCTTACACCCTCGCCTATCGGAGAACATTATCAATTATCGGCAGCGGGAGAGCTCAACGGAGCCAACCCGATCCCGGGAGATATTTTGGAACCGGGTTCGGGCCGCTCCGCTCTCAAAGGCGGAATCGGAAGTCTTCGGCGGAAGCTATTCTCCTGCGGAATCTCCGACCCCGTGGGCGGCGCAAATCATCGGGAAAATTACTCTTTAGGAGATAAGCACTGACATTCCGCGGATGCGAAAGATGGTGCCCGGGACATGTTCGAGTGCATGACTCTCCATGGATATAGCATAATATTACACGAATGAACCATGAGAGCTTGACCACAGGGACATCGCTCATCAGCTTCATATGTAGGTCTGCTGAGAGCATGCAGCTCGGTCGGGTGGCCCCAGCGTCGATTTGACAGGATTGGGGAGAGAGAGGTATGCGGAATCTCGCGCGAGGATACCATTAGATCACCGCAGCGGGGAGCCCTTCGTTTCGTGTCCGACTTGCAGGGTTCTCTCATTCCTTCTCATGACCGCAGAACCTAGACTCCGCATACGGATCAGATATGCGTCGCTGCTACGTATCTAGAAAGCACTCGGCTTCGGAGAAGTTTCTCGAGGGATACTTCTCTTGACTTCTTCTGTTTCCCTCCGCGGAATCGGGCGAGATCATACACTGGTTGTCTTGCTCAATACATCAATTTCCTTTCCAGACGATGCCGAGGGCGGGCGCTTCTTTTGAGATGGTTCACGGCATGATAGACAACCGATTTTGCTCTCTTGCGACGATGGAGAGTTCAGTGCCTCGTTCGGAACCCATGACGAGTGATCTGTGCTGCTACAGTAAAGAGCCAAAATGGGGGCGGACGTGTATTGGTGTATCTGAGAAGAGCTGAGTCTCTCCTGTTTTGAGCTACCTGATTTATTTTTCAATTGATTCGGGGCTTCTTGAGCTGACCGGAATATCTCCCGCGATTGTTGACTGCTAACGATAATGATTGAAGTGCCTTCGAGAGATGGCGATCCGTCTCAATCATAAACAAGCTGACGATACCGATCATGTCTGTACTCGAACGAAGAAGTCTCGACAAGGCCGTCGATACGGAAACTCCGAGACTATCATACCGTCATTTGAAACCGTCTCAAATTCATTGCTGAGAAGGCCCCTGTGTTCTTCCATAAACGGCATATATGAAATCAGCAATTCACTTTAATTTGAATGGAGGACATTTGGGGAACAGCGGTCACGGTGAAGAAATTAAAATGAACGAAGTTCCCGATTCAGCCCCTAGGTCTTTTCAATCCGACGAGGGCACCGGATCAGTTTGGATCGGACAACCTTGAGCTCGAGACTTGATGCACGTCCTCTAAGGTTCGCTACGCGCGGAAGATGAGAGAATTCGAAGCTCGTCGTTCCTCCCTCGGATGCACTCGCACGATCAGAATCGAAACCATCACTCGAATGGTCTCCGAGAGGTGGCCTTCTTAGGTAGGCATACGGACATCTTATTCAACCAATCCTTCTGATCCGATGGAATAGCTTCAGGGGAGTAGAGCATGCACACCCGGCGGAATATCGGAAGGGAGCCTATGAGAGCAATTATCACAGCTTCCCCCCTTGTAGAAAGATTGGGATAGCGTCGGAGTCCGGAGCTGTTCGAAAACTCCATGATTTCAGAGCGAGGCAGCTATGCGTTTGGAGATTCGAAGCACCGAATTCGGCATCTCCTCGCGCTACGAATGTTAATGACCGAAATACGATAGCGCTCCGTATCTCCGGACTGTTACCTGGAATGAGACCCGTGTGTTCTTCGCGGTAGTCGGGCGGCCGAGGGAAATCCAACTCGGCATCGACAACTGTCGTCCCCGTGAATGAATCTCTAGAGACATGCGTGTCGAAGCGAAGTTTCCGAAAGAGATCTCGAGTAACGGGGTGTCGACGCTTTCTCACGCAGTGATTCAGTTGTTCGATGCTCGAGATCCGGTGCTCGATGAGCCCCGGGCTCCTCCGCGAATCGCTCTCTCTTTTTCAAATCTTCCACATCATATTTTCTCACGGCGTGAATCTCGGTTCGGGGATCACCGTCTCAAGAATGCCCTCTGCGTTATCAAATCAGCGAACGCTCACACCACGGACGTGCAGACCACAAAGGCTTACCACAAAATCTGGCCTTTCGATATCGAAATATCATCTCGAGAAGGTCTGGCAGCTGAAGATCGGATACACCACTGATCCGGTGCCCTTGTCGGATTGATAAGACCGAGGGTATTAATCGGAAGCAGCTGAGGTCGAGACGGTGTCGCCTATGGCTCTCTCGTCTCAACAAGGCGACAAAGCCCCTCGAGAACGGAGATCTCTTCCAGCTCTGGCCAGACGAATGCACCTTCGCTGCCGACTCTGGGATTCCAGGCACCCTTGCAGACGCTGATGATGATTGTGGGTCGTCAGAGAATCGGTATGTGAATATGAAAAAATCTCAACGGAGGAATATTTCTGAAGTGCACGGTATCAGACTTCATTACAGGGCACCCGAGGATCATCGAAAGGCCAAATATTTCTTGCCGATAACGGCCGAGCATGACGTTTTATTCTCTAATTCCTTGAACTGAGGGCTCCCGCTTTTCACTGAGACAAGTTAGAAGTTCTTGTATACCATTGTCAAAAAAATATTTTATTGCTCTGATACACTACGTGACGCAAATGGGTTATGCTCCGAGCACGGCCGATATGAGTGGGTTTTTTTAACGCACAGCGCACGCCACGGGAAACTCGTGTTCGAGGCGACAAGTAAGCCAGTGTGGAATTTACAGCAGCATTCGAACATTAATTGGAGGCACTTACGAAACTATTTACAACAGCGTACAATCGTCCATCGAGCGTGGAGGACGGAGGACAATGAGTGGGATCAGAAAGGTTATTCGAAGTACTATTTACAATAGAAATTCAACAAGTCCACACGAGGACACGCCAGACTAGGAGAGCGCACGGGACGACACCGTTGCATGCTTACGTTTCTTCCAGAATGTGTGCTTCTATTCTTCGCCTGAATATATAATAACAATAATTATTAATAATTAAAAACAATGATCATGACATCCTAATCAATTGTCTTTCTTCTGCTCGACGCCCACCACGGTGGGCTCGGGCTCGGAAGCCGCAGATGCAGAAGCGGATGCGGCGGCGGCGGCTGAAGAGGCCGACGATGCCTTCGCTGAAGCCTTCTTCTTCCGAAGGAATCGTCGCTTCTTCCCGTATGAAGCCTCCTCGGGCTCAGCCGATTCCGAAGCAGCCGGCGTCTCCTTCTCGTCGAGGGGCTCGGGCTGGTGGGGCGCATGAGCGATCACTGGAGGATGCGCCACGACGGGCTCATGGTGAATTTCTTTCTGGAGCACGGGCGCGTGGAGAACCTTCTTCTCAGGCTCCGTGTGATGAATCGTGAAATATTGTTGATGGACAGTCGCTCCGTGGTGAGCAGGAGCGTGAGCTGCTTCGTGACTGACCGCCTGCACGGGAGCGTGCTGCTGCTGCTGCTGCACCGGAACGATAGGACCCGCGTGAACTGGCTCGTGGTGGATAATCTGTTGCTCAACGTGCTGAGCATGAATCGGCGCGGCGTGAACTGGAGCGTGATGAATTACTTGCTTTTCCGTATGTTGAACATGGTGATGCACCGGAACCGCATGGACAGGTGCATGGTGCACGACCTGTCTATCGATCTGGTGGTGCTGGACGTGCTGGATAACGGGTTGCGCGTGTGCGTGGTGCACAGGCTGAACGTGTGCGAGGTGAACCTGCTGAGCGTGACTCTGGTGCACTGGCTGAGCGTGTACGTGGTGCACCTGCTGAACGTGTGCGTGGTGCACCTGCTGAACGTGTGCGTGGTGCGCCGGCTGAACGTGAGCGTGGTGCGCCGGCTGAACGTGAGCGTGGTGCACGGGCTGAACGTGTGCGTGATGCACCTGCTGAACGGGTGCCTGGTGCACCTGCTGAACGTGCGCATGGACGGGGATCGCGTGGTGCAGCTGTTGGTGTTGAATGGGCGCATGCTGAACGGCATGGACTGGAATCGCGTGCTGGATCGGAGCCGCATGCTGCAGCTGCACTGCATGTTGTGCAGGGATGGCATGTTGTCGGGGAGCTTCTTGTTGCACTGGGATAATTTGCTGCTGGATGTGCACGGGAACAGCGTGATGATATTGTTCCTGTTGGTAGTGCTGTTGGATCGGGATCTGGAAAGAAAATTCGATTTATTCGAATGCACCGTAAGCTATTGCTTCGATTGATGATTCGAACTTTTCAATGAGTCCATCGTATGCGTGGCTCGCGTGAAGCATCAGGTGTGTGTTACAGAGGATCTTTGGAGCCCGGGACTCCGACAGGACTCCGCCCTCCGATAATAATGACATTCTCCGAAAATTTTCGTCGAGTCATCAGGTTGCATTTGATATTCTTCGAGCGACGAAGAAGAATATCAACATGAAGCGGTATAGGGAACTGCCGTTACCTCCTTGACGCGCTCGACTACTGAATACGTTTGTGGGAAGAGTAGGCGAGACTCCCGGGGAGCCTGGTCCGGACTGGGTCTATGAATACGCAGAACCACAGAACCTTGACTTCGGACATCAACGTCGTCGTCTGAGACGTGACCTTGGTTATGACGTGCCGGCTCGTACTGCTCAGGCTCGTCGGCTAGGTATCGACCGTGGTCGTGAGACTCATAACGTTGATAGGATCTCCGTTCTTCTTCATCGAGCTATGAGTGAATCATGATTAAATCTCAACGGAATCCGCTCAATCGAGTCCCAAGCGCCGTCGATCGAAAGACGAGACGTATCGAGGACTGTCAGGGGAACATATTCGCTGCTGAACAAAATACCCCGGAAATCGGGATTCTGTTATTTCAGGAGGAGCTCACCTTCTCGATGATCTGGTGGTGTTGCTGATCGTGGTGGATAACGTGGGGGCGGATCTTCTGGAGTGGCTGACCATATTGAACCTGATGCTGCTGGAGGTGGAGGATACCATGATGTTGCTGCACGGGGATGATTTCCTTCTGAAGGAGTACAGGTGCCGGCTCTATGACCCTGACGGCTTGTGGAAGGAAGTGCTTAGCGTGGTAAAGGTCGGGTTTCTTGACGAGTGGCGCGAATTTGTGGCCCCTCTGGTGAAGTTGAGGGGCGGGTATCTCTACGAGCCCAGCGTTACGGATAACCGTGCGCGATTTCAGGTCAGGAATTTCAGCGCTGAAGTGCTTCTGAACTGGGATCACTTGACGGTGGAGTGCGATTGGCGCTCCATAATGGCCCCCGATTTGTCCTTCGATGAGTCCATGCTCTTCGACGGGAGTTCCGTACGAAAGGGAAGCGATAGGACCTCCGTAGTGCCCGGCCTCCTTGATCGGGAAACCATGGGGAATGTGGGAAACGGGTCTCAGAATACCGACGTCCGATCCTCTCACGATGGGGATCTTAAGTGGGAGTTTGTTCCCGCCCAAAAGAGCTCTGAGCTCGGCCGAAGCTTTCTCAGCCTGGAATTCCCTGATGAGAGGCCCGTCGAGTCGCAGACCTTTCGAAACTTCGTAGCCTTTCAGGATGTCGTCCACTTCAGGGCCCTTGAGCGGTATGACGGGTAGACCCCGATTCGCTTTCGGTATCACCTTGAAGCCTTTGCCGTTGAAGCTGAGTTCTCTGGACGTGTCGTAGTCCTTGATGAACTTCGCGATGCTACCGTCATCTTTTAGTCCGTCGGTGGGCAAGAACGTTACGAGATCGCTACTGAACCCCTTGAAGGGAATGCCTTTCGGGGCGAAAGATAACTTGTTCAGGTTGGGATACAGCGATCCGTAAGAGAAGGAGTCCAACGAAAGAAGAGGGTCCGGCTGCGCGCCGAGGTAGAATGGATATCCTGAATAGCAATGAGAAAAACAGCGTTAGGGAATCACTGTTGCGAATGGAACAAGAACAAAGCAAGCTCGGCGGAACAATGCCGTCCGGTAACGCTCGGCACATACCTGCGTCGGCTCGAGCCGCCAGGAGAATGATAGCTAAGGACAACATTAGATGGGTTTTCTGAAAGCGAAGAACCGTTGTAGCGGGAAGTCGGGACAATAACTACTAATTCTACGAGTGAAACCGCCACCGACTGCAAATGTGCTCTTAGGAGAGTCCCGCGATAGGCAGCACCGTGGACTACGTAATCAAGAGAGAACGAATGACACGCCGCGCACGTACGAAAATTAAGTCGAAACTACCTATTCACGATCGACGTACGGAGCGGGTTCGGAATAAGAGCTCGACTCGGGTCGCCCAAAGTTGACGAATATTTCCACGACTGAACGCCCGAGCGGGAAAGAAATGCTCCAATTGGCAACGTCGGGATTAAAAGTTTCGCCACGAAACTCGGAGCGCCGCACAAGGAGCTTCTCAAGCGGAGCGTATAATCGGCTCCGGATTCCCAGGAATTGAAAGAGACTCTCAATGAAGCCTAATGCATGCGCGACTCCGACGGGAAAACGTTCCGTTCACAACATTCACGAATTCTACAGGTATTCCATGCGGCACGTAATCCTTGAACAGCACGTGAAACACTGCTGACTCCTCGTGATGCGATCGTCGGTCGTAGATGCGTTCGCATCTACGATGCTCGTAGACAACGGCAGCGGCCGGAGCACGGTCTCACACAGGTATCCAAGTGTGCGGAAGAGGTGCGGCTCACAGAGTATTGGCGCTCACCATTATGTCGTTTACAATGAGCTCCGAGTACGAGTTACGAACACACGGACACACGGGACATGAAGAAAACGTAGCACGCACACTCAACACGAGCAGTGCTTCGACTTTTGGTCGGGACGCTCACGTTCACTTGCTTTTATGCGCCCCCTTCCTCTCCTGTGTGAATCAGGGGGACCATCCGAATCAAAACGTCACAGCAACTCTCCTAAAACTGGCAACATGGCAAGCTAGTGGCAAGGCAAGCCGCCGGGCCCGCAGACGCATGGAAGCCCGGACAGACGGACTGACGGGCCGGCCCCTGTTACACTTTCTCCCCGGGTCCGACCCAGGCGTCGCGCCGGCCGCTCCAGAACCGTTCTGCTCACTTCATACGATTCGAACGGTCACTGACTTTTTGGGCTGGTATTGCCAAGTATTACCGACGATACTGTGATGACTTTCATCGCCTTCTGCTTCCAAAGTCCGGTTGCTTGCTTTCTTGTGGGCTATCCGTTCGTCAGCTCGAAAGACGAACCGAGCGACCGCTGCGGCATAGATGGCATTGCAGCCGAGCCGTCATCGGTCCAGCCGATCTCATCGAATGGAATCGGGCGAACGAAAGCATCTCCCAAGGTGAATCCTGCACAAGCTCTGGGAAATTTAACGGCAAACATGATTCAAATGGGGAAATAAACGGTCGACAGATAAACAAACGGAGAGAAGAGAGTGCCCAATTATCTAGCTTGCTGTCATCATAATTTCTATTGGTATTATTCAGACTCTGGGGTATTTACTACATTTTGCAACAATGTTTCCGTGAGCACGGCGAAGATTGCTCGGGCCCCGCGCTTCGGCGCGCTCTAGCTTTGCAAATCGCTTAAATTCGGAAAACGAGCTCAATAGATTGCAGCAGTGTGTACACATGTTTGTGTTTTCTCGGATAAACTGCTCTTGATCGCGCAAAGTTTCACAACGCCTGTGCAGTCACTGCTTTCGGAATTCCCCGCGCCAATTCTGATCCGAACAAATTTACTCGACTCACCTGTGCAGTGCATGATAGGATCGATCGATGTGAGGATCGGGCGATCCATTTGGAGGCTCGAGCTTCTGATTCCAGAGCGCAGATATTTCCAGAATGAATGCGAGGGTGAACGCGGCAGATAGTTCAATGGATTCGGGATTCAATGCCTCAATCCGGATTGTGAGATGATTCGGAGCCAGTTACCGATGGGAGAAAGTTTTTTCCGTCGTCTGAATTGTCGATCGAATTGCGACGACGACTTCGATGAAAACCTGACGGAGAGCGCCTCTTGACGCATTTTTTGATTGCGAAGGCTCCCGAGCGAGATGAGAAGCTTTAAACACACAAAGGAATCCCAGAGTTGTAATTCTCCATAACATTTCAGGTTCGCGAGGGCGGATCCGGAGAAAGCCATCCCCGCCCACTTGACTACGGGCTCCGTTCCACAATGAAGATCGGTAACCTTGGGAGTGATTTGATTTGTTCTGGCCGCCGCGATTTGAATCATTATTTGGAGTTCATCGCGTTCGGACAATGGCGTGCGATTATGGCGCCAATGACGAGGCTATTCAAAAGAAAATAAAGACGGACACTTTTCCCGCAGTCGATTAAGGACTTCTGCTCCACTTCACACCGTTGAGGAGATTATTGTGCCGCCGCTCGGCTTGTCAAATATCGGAGCATCATAGACCGTGAAGCGACCGAATCCTCATTTCATCCGTCGATCCATTCGGAATCTTGGATCCAAGGGCGATTTTCTCGCACGCGACGCTCATAATTTCTACGTATGGTTCTACCCTGCGCAACGCATCTCCTAATTATTGCTCTAGATTCAAATCGACACCAACGTTCCGACGCTTGAATTAGATCGAATGATTGTATCTGTGATGGATTAGGTAACGGTTTTACAGCTTTATTTCACGGCATGGTATCGCGACCGCATCCTGGAGTTTGACGATCGATCGATGGCGACGCTTGTCGACGGATCGATCGTCCGAGTCCCGTACAAGCTTTCTGGAGGAAGTGAATTGAGGTTCAGCGAGTCGGCGTATCTCGTGACCGCCCTCCTTCTCGAACGGCCCCCAATTGCTCCTTTCGTACACGTTTCGGCTCGTCGACCCACACGAATCGTGGTTTGAATGAATGCATATTCAAACATATCCCAAACGCGGGACTCTGGAGTCTCGGGTCGCGTGCCGGCAATGACAACATTCTGATGGTGGACGCAAAAGGTTGCCATCATCGATCGACTAGCTAGTATGTATTACGATTAGGGAAGAATGTCTCGTTACTTGACAACATCTCGAGGAATCGAACCTTCCCCCCGGCCGCGACGGACACCTGCCGGCGTCGCACACGTCGTCGACACATAGGACACATGTAATGATGTATTTCATAATTCTTTGCTTGCGCCGCCCGGCGAATTCCTTATTGGATCTCATCATCGCGTACCCGCTACTGCCTCCATCTTAATTGTCATCTGATCTGACGAAGGCATAATATGTGACAGCAAAAGCTGTAAGCAATCATATATCGGAGCGGACCCTTCTTTTGGGGACTGGGCGGACAACGTCTGCGCGGTCGATTCCGACGGCGAACGTCGTCGGCTATCGAAGGCGAAGCGTATGGAATGCGAGTCTTTGGGAGATTGCATATTCTAGCTCGAGTTCTCCTCGTATTCGAATTCCTGCTACCGATTCGGAACTGCACCGGAGGAATAAGGAGCGAGCTGCCCGAGGGATCTACGACTTCGTGAGGAGCTAGCTGTACGTTTCCCTCGGCGGAGCGAGACTTCGGGAGCCGGCGGCTACACAACCAAGAGATCCCGTTTTTCCCCTATTTTTTACGCCTCCTGCCGCCAACCAGTGGAGTCTGAATCTCGCAGAAGTCCTCTGTGGGCTATATCGGCGAACTCGCACAGTGACGAACATTCGAGGAGCATGCGGGCTCTTTCCCAATGGGTTCCTTTCCCCATCCTGAGGGAATCGACACCGAGGCTACGGGTGACAAGAAACGGGAAGGAAGGAAATCCGGCGAAGATTCGCGACAAACTGATTTCCGTCCGGCTTCTCGTTTCGTCAACGCAGACTGGCGAGTCAGGTTTCGACCGGTTGCTCCGTCCGGATTCCTGAATCACTATCTGTCTGTTTATGGTAATTCTCATTTAGTACCAGCTCGTAAATCGAGCTATCTGTCCAAGTATCTATGCAACTTCATCCAGGAGCAGTCTAGATCTCGGTCGGTTACCGCGACTAACAACTCTGTTGACGGAACGTGCCGAGTAGCAACGATCACGATAGCGAAGGAGAGAGGCGGACTCGAAGCCCGAGGATCGCTCCCACCCCACTCACGGTCCTGCCTGGGAATCGGTGAGTCTCGCTTCCTAAACCGACGAGAAGAAATTTAGGTGCCGCTACGTCTGCCCAAATATGGATTCATCCTGTCTTCGCTTCCTGCAGAGGCGAGATCTATTACGGCCGGCTCAGCACCAACTGACATGAAAGTTTCTCATTTTCAGCGATTCCGGCTCGTATATATTTTTTAGGGCCGACGATATGAACAGAGTCAGCGGCGGGACGACTTTCACTTGTTGAACGTACGCCGGCGAACGCACCGCTTGTCACGTGCTTGCCTCACGATGCTCGCGAGCGTTTCCGTGAAAAAGATGTGGTCCGAAGAGGGCTGGTAATTGTTGCTGGTCGTCAATTTCTGTAGCCGAAAAATCGGCGACCGCGCCGGCCGGTACGAGAACCACCGGAGACGCTCCTTTCGCCGCCACCGTCGTCCGCCTGATAGAAATATTGGAGCTAAAATCGCACATTAAACGCAGAAGCCTCATGTGAGCGCAGGACGGACGGACGGACGGACGGACCGGCCACTCGGTCGGTCGGTAGCATCTGCTCGCCGCCAGTAGCCACGTTCGTGCTTGAGATATTGGAAGCGGTGCAAGGCTGTTGCCAACAGGAAGACCAATGCTGTATTTAATGGCGTCTCTATCTGGAGAGGAAAAAAAATGGAATACTCCGCTACATCGGACGTCTTGTTGACGGGCTTGAAGCTACGCCGAAATCTACGGAGTCGGTGGGTTGTGGCCGCTTCGGTGCGACGTTGCTTTCCCTCATTTCTTCTCGTCGTCTACATATGTCGACCATCGAATCTGACCGTTTCCTTTGGCCGCTTTTGGATAGAATAATCCTTTCATATCCCTTCCGTCGAATTGATTCCGCATTTTCGGCGGTGATTCTCGAACGTTTTTGATTAAGCCGCGCGAGCACTTCACACCTGAAGTGCGATTACGGCATCGGCTCCAGTTTTACGATCAAGAGCTCGGAGAAACATCAATATTGTTCCAATCTTTTCCGGAAGGCTGTTTTAATTGGAACAACTTGCTCACCGCCGACGTTCCTAAATCAGATCAGGCATCTTCTTTTTCGAACGCCTTCTTAGATTCAAATCTCGCATCGAAGTCGGTATGAGAGTCGATACGAATTGGCAACGAAGTCTCGCACGAGCTTCTCGACTCCGAGGGGAACGCGTATTCACCTGATCATGATTTGGTGCCTGAATATTGACTTCAACCGCTCTCCTTGAGGGTACGCGGGTCGAAAGCCTGAGAGAACTCGGAACATTGCTTATCAGGGGGTTCTATCGCGCGAGGTCTTATCAAGCTCGAATCCGGGAGTGGAATATTCTGCGCTGCGATAGCATCGTTTCATTCGACTGACCGAGAGCTTCTTGCAACCAGCTCACGGAGAGACTCGCTAGGTTTATAGGCAACTGAGCGGGAAAACGTCCGGGACTTTTGCGAGCGCTCGCCAATCGAGTAATCTCGGTAATAGTCAGCAACAGCAGGAAATTTCCGCCGCACTTCGGAAGAGTGTTTCAATAATTGATCATCCGAGGAACTTCCCCGCTGCTTTCGGAAACTTCCTCTGCACGCGCGACGTCTCGATGCGCGACTTCTGATTCGCATGCGACACTGTTCTGGCCAGACCGTTATTGGAGCCGTTCTTCGAGCGTCTACATCGGATGAAGACGTCGTGGGAGCGAGAGGCACCGCAGAGCAACAACGTGGATTGTACGACTTCCCCGGCAGGGCTAAAGGATTCCATTACCCATCCGGCAGCAAACGCTGAAGGTGTGTTCAGATCGCTGATCCGCACAATGCTCGGAATCATGTCGGCGCACGAAGACGTACCCGGAACATAATGAAGTTTTTTATTAGGTCTTCTTGTTCTGCTTCTGAAATAGCGATCTGATCGGCTTCACGAGTTATCGACTCCTCGTATTAAACGCTTGATTTATGGAGGCAGTCGAAGTGACTCGTCTATTCGTCGGTACATCCGTAATTGAGCTATGACGCTACTTGAGTACGATACGAATGAGGAATCTCCCGCGAAGGATGGCACTTTCGCTTTCCGATGGAACAAAAATTCCATCTCGCGGTCCCAGATACGTTCAGTGGGACGCATCGCTCGAAAAAAGAATCGCCTTGCCCCAGCATATCATCGAGCTGATATACGAGTCGTTAAGTCAGACGCGTTCAAGAAGTATGGGAAGCCCGTGTTTTTATCTGGTAGCTGTGAAGATTTCCTTACTTCATGCCCCCGTTTCCGCGCAATCTGCCGTCAAAAACGTCGTCTTCGTCGATCAGGGAATGTTTTGTCACTCGTCTGTTAATAATAATAATAGTAATAAAATCGACGATTCGTCCTCATCGGGCTGATCAAGTTTGATTCAGATTAGTTTTTTTACCTTCGTTTCTCCACTCTCACTGATATCCTTGATGTTACGTAGAAGAGGGCGCCGCCTGGGGCTTTTGTGGATTTGCTGTGGAAGATCCGTTGCCAGTGCTGAGGGCGCCAGTGGGTCAGCCGTCACGGAGCGTGACCGGGCTCCAACGGAAGCGAATGTATGTCCGATGTTTTTGTTCTATGCGGCGAGCTCATTTGACTTGGTGGCCATAACTTTCTTGATTACGTCGCGACGACGCGTCGTCTCGGTGGGGAATGCTGAGAATATGATGAGATTATTGGAATCGTCCGGTATGGAGCACATGTGGTAATTCCCTCACCGACCGACCAAGAGCGCTCGACGTGCCCCACGTGAGCCACTTCAGAAAGCAATGGGGATGCTGCGTACCCAGTGGATGCAATGGGTCGATTTGATGAGTCGTAAACTATCCGCATCGATCGATGAGTCGAGCTATCAGTCAGCACGCTCACAAAGCTTCCGATGCTTGCGATGCAGCTCTTCGCTTCAAGATCGTTTGTTACTAGATCAATAGTTGGCGTTCGCGAAGGCCCCGCCCAATATCGTTCAGATATCCATTTATCAATAAGCGAACTTCCGAAGACACCGTTCCATGTCAGTACATCGAGTATTTTATTTACCGAATCGATCCGCTCGCTCTGTAAACGTCTTCAAGAGCGTTTGTTCGTGCATTCTGCTGCGGAAAGTCAACGTTCGAAATCATTGTTTGAAAAGCGACAACGGTAGCGGCAACTCTGGCAGCTCTTGTATCGAAAATGATGAGCGTCAAATTGCTGAATAACTACACGCACCATCGAGCACGGAACAGGCCGAAAATTCACCCATTAATCGACTCTTGAACCGGAGAATTAAGCAGGCGAAAAACGAACACGATCGACGAGGCAGTTTTCGAGCTCTTCGCAAGAAGCACTCTCTCCATGGGGTGGTGCGTCAGGTGTCAGTTCCCTTCGGAGCCCCTTGGAAGCATTCCCGGTCGGTATTTTATTCTGATCATCCGCCAGGCGGTGGCCAAAGGTTCCGAAGGCCTACGGTGAAGTTTTCGAGCCCTGAAAGCGTCCGGTCGCGATAATAGGTAGGCATCCCACGCTGATACCTGCCCGGGGCAATGATTCCGATCGAGGACCTTCGCTTATTATGGACGGGGTCTTGGGGCGTACGGGGATCCGCAGATGACACTCGGGCCGTATCGCTACGTCGTCGATCTGATGTTCTCGGAAAATCATCGAAGTTCATCCGCTGGATTGCAAGCACTGTGGCGTCGTTGCTCTTGTGACGGCCACGATCACATACACGGCCAGACGTATCCAGCAGCGCTGCTCCAATGATGATGATGAGGACGACAACGATGGAACCAGAGCCGATGATGATGCTGACGACAACGATCAATAATTCCCTGAGACAGCTGTCGACTGACTGAGCCGCAAGCATCATCATTCTCATCGGTAGCGAATGCGCGGAAGTCTAACCAAATTCGTCTGTATTTCGGCGAATCTGATTTTTCTTTTGTCGATTTCTATCGGGCGGAAAACCCCGACCGGAATGAAATGCTTTACACGACTAGAACAGACAGGTCGCTTCGAACTCAAGAAAATTCCGAACGGCATCGAGCTCTCCAGAATGCTCGTCGTAAAGCACCGAAGTATCGGTTCCGATCGGGAGGAGCCCCGCCGATCACCTTTTCCCATTTGTACACCTTCACCTGTCGGCTACTGTTGGGGGACTTGAATAGTTTTTCGCGTTTTGCAGCTTTCTTGAGAAAGTACCGGAACATTCGGGATGCGACCGGAGTCGAGTCGACGGATGCGGACATGGCATTACGATTCTTTCTGGGTGAATGGAAGCTGAGTGCCCATGGACGGAACGTCTGTTCCGCAATTCACGGACAAATCGCGAGCACGATTGAGACAGAAGCTGAGAATCGTTTCCTTAGTTCATATCGGATCCATGCAGATTTTTTATTCCATTTCCCTTCCTCGGGTCGGAAGGAGACGACGACGCGATCGCCTTCAGCGCGAGTCCTGCCGAGACAGACGGTCTGGATCCCGTCATTCGGTAATTCATAATTTTCCGGCCAATATTCCGAAATGTATGCTCATCCGTAACAACGCTGTATTCGCGCACCCGGAGGGATCCTTTACTGACTACGCAACGCGATCGGCAAGCCCATTGATAAGGGTCCGTATCGCTCTACGATGATAATATGTCCATCGACGTCATACTGAAATTCAGGTGAAGTCACGGTATCACCTTGCTTCCGTAGACGCCTTATGTGAGCTTTGTTCCCAATATTGTCGTTGATAAAATAGCCCGCGAAGAACAGCTGATCTCGGCGAAGATAGATCATATGCATAACGAACTCTCGTTTGAATATATCTGCAAGATTGCTTAGTTAGTGGTGCAAGGACAAGGGACAGCAGATGATAGCATCGATCCGTTGCCGAATTTCTCCCTATCTATCCCGAAACTACTTTCGCTCTGCTAGTTGGGCAAGCGACCGATCGATACAATCGTAGCGGACACATCCTCCAAAGCGGAGATCCAATTGAGTTACAATGACGGTTCGTACTTATGTCGAGGGACGGGGAACTTTTGTTTTTCGGCCAAAAATCCACGATACTTTTACGATAAAATCAAGCCTCGTCCTTCCGCTTATCACAACGGAATCGATTTCCCAGCGCATAGTCTGCTGCTACAGGGCGCCTGACGTCCGAATTGTGAGAACTCTATCTCTCGCGGAATTCGAAGTACGCGAAACTCAGCCGTCGACAAAGCTCATGCGGGATTCGGAAGCGTACGAGTGGCGCTGACCTCTCCATGACGCTAACAATCAGTCAGACTGTTTGTGTGTGGCCTGTGGATCTGATTCCATGGCTCAACGCGGGGTACCTACCCTTCCCAAGATCGGCTCCACCAGTACGGCTCGGGTCAGCTGGTACGTCCGTCGCCCGTCCGGACGATCCGACCGCCGTCGTATGGACGAACGCAGGTTGCTCCGCGCGCCGTCGGACGCGACAGGTGGACGAAATTCTTCCATTTCATGACCAGCGGCTACTTGTTCGATAACGCAATGAACGAGCGTAACACGCGTAAGAGTGAATAGCTCCGACGTATTTCGGCCGACTGCGCCCCTGGACGCAGCTGCTACTGCTGCTGTTGCCTGCCAACAAGAAAGCGAATCCGCGAGACAAACCGGAAATGCCAGCCGGTGACTTCGTAATAATAACAATAATTGTGATATTTCAACCTCGGGGCGTTCGGTGTTGCTCAGACAACGTCAACCGATTCGGTCCGACCCGTTGAGGCCGGGGCGAAAAAATGTTCACCGTGTCAAGACTTTTTTTTGCATCCATACTTTCCTCTGCGTTTTTGCATGGGCGTCCGAATCGATCGCCGCTCGATGAAGCTCCTCGAGCAACCAAGGGATGGGAGAATATTATTTTGCGTGGGACAGGGCCCGAGGGAATCATTCGTATCATGAATCGAAGCGTTTTCTCTGCTTCGGCCATGCGATTGATTCCGGGAATTGAAAACAATATCTGCCACCTATTCATGATTTATTGATCGAGGAATAGATAGTCATAATTCGAACTCGAAAATGACGGAACGGCCCCGCACAGAGAACGTGTTCTAGCCCACATATATACAAAGGCTCGGTTTGGGGGCACTTCAGCTCAACTATGTCATCTCGACCGAGTTGGGGTTCCGAACTCACGTAACGGGTCAGGGTCCGTCGGACGTGCCCTGGATCATGGCGTGTGGAGACACAAACAATCCTACCGTCGATGTTGTGTCGGGCGAGCTCAAACACTCTCGGCTGCTTTCCAAGAGCCCGAACTCAGCAGGCCACACTTTTCGGACGCGAATGCTACCACAAATAATTTTTTTTCGTTTGCGCTTGGGGTGGTCGACGTCGTCGGCATCGTCGTTACGATATTGAATTACGAGGGTCACCCGCCAAGAAATCTAGTTACATTGACCGAGAGGCTGCCGACGGCGCCCACATGATCGTCGGATCCTTCGTTTGCTTGTTTAGATGTCGCGACGGATGCTCCGTAAGTGGCTCAATTCGAGGATTATAACGTTCGGAGGTTCCCGGAGGAATTAGAGAGCGAAGCCTGCGCATTTGCAGAACAATCTCCTCTATGTCTGACGCGCTATAACGCGTGCGAGCTCGACGCGGCGGGGGATTGAACGTTTCTGGATTTTGATTCCGTGGGGCAACGCTCAGCTGATGCGGTCAAGGTCCTTGCCCACGGGCTCTGTCACTGGCGCAAAAGCTCGAGAACGTTCAGTCGTGCGGAGAACTCGTCCAATCCTTCTGTGGCTGCGCGGTTCAGAATGATGCTTCTGTCAGATCTGCTGAAGGTCACGGAACCTGCGATGGACGATGCCCCATCGGCGTCCGAATGCTCTGCGCGTGACGAAGACCGAACACTACAGGCGAATCGCAGCGGCAGTATTTGGCCAAGATGGAGAATTTGACGGAGCACTGGCAAGCAGCGGTCGCTCTAATACTGAACCTTCTCGAGAGCATACGCAAGGGATTCAGGAAACGGGTCATCCCGAGGAAAAACGTCTTGTATGAGATCTGTTCCCGCTCTGTTTCCCTCCTCCGAGTGCTTGTTTCCAGATTACTCAGTCAGTTCAGAACAACAGCCCCCGAGGAGTGGGACTGACTGTTCTTCAGTCTCTTCACAAACACTGTCAGCCCTTCGACTTCTTCGAATGTTGTTCCGGTAGTTTTGCTTTTCGATGCAAAAACAGATGATGATACGGGCTAAACCATGGAGGAATTTTATATTTCTCGATGTCGTCCATCGATGAGACGTGATGCTGCCGATTGAGGCAGCGGGAAGAAAAACGGGCGAAAAGATTCGGACTTCTGGCATCAGTCGATGATTTTTGTTGTTCTGACGCTTCCGCATAACTGTCCCTTCGGTTTACCGAATGATCTGCCGAGTTGCCAACGCATTGATTCGGGGGGCTTATTCCATCGAAATTCTCCGCCTTTCCTTTCCATTCGAGTTCTTCCTCAAACAATCGATGTTCACCATCACACTCAGGTGGTACTCGATGCTTCTTCTGTCGCGCCCAACCCTGTACCGAGGACCGGTGGAAAGGATGTGGAATTTGCCTGGGACAGCGGTACATATTCCCATGATCGACTCCATATTTTCATGGAGGCTGAGGGGAACTAGGGCAATCCGCTCGTGGAAGAATAAGACCGAGCGTCATGTTGTTCATCGGCAGTGAGCTGATCGAAAAACCAGCTCGAAGAGCGATAAGGAATCTCGACGAGACATGAGCTGCGAGCGGAACGTATATCTCCGTCGAATTTGCAGACTGAGCTCCGGAAGCTTCCCTGAGGATCCGCACGCGCTCGAGTGGGACTCACGCTCACAGCAAGGAATTACAATGCTCCGAAAAGCTCGAAAACGCAGCGTACAATGGCTAATTTGTTCACCCAACGGAACACGAGCTGAATTATGTTTCCGCGAGCCCTTTCGCGCGGTCGTTTGCAGAGGAGCTTCGTTAGCTACCGCAAAAAGCTTTTTTGCGCGGGACAAGACGCAATCGACGTTAAGTAACCTTTACAGATTACGAAGCACAGAGCGCGAGCTAATCATCATTTTCCTCCGTATCATGAATCTGACTCGAGGCTGAGGCCATTTTCCTCGAAGACTGCGAAACTAAAAATCTAAAAACTTGCGCAAATCCTCCAAGGACTCAAATTCGTGGTGGGACAACGCTTTGTTCAGCCCTGTCTTGCAGAGTGATCCCTGCAAGGTGGTGCGAGTGCTCGTACGTAGGACCCTTCGCACAGCGGCATCGAATCGAGGAGCAGGTCAAGCTCAGAAGGGAGAAATCCGAGCCGTGATCCATCAGCAGGCTCCCGGGGCGCGATCGGAGCTCCGCGAGATCGATTCGTACTGCGCTCCGTTCAGACGACCTTCTGGAGCGAAGACAATAGTCACCCTTAATGAATTGAAACACTCTGACAAACAGATCCTGTGTTCGACGTCCGAAGGTCGATGTCAGTTAGACTTCGTCTGGTAGTCTCTCAGAGAGTCCGAGCCTGGCTGCCACTTCGATCGCCAATCGTGAACAAAACGAAGTCAGTTCACTTGAACGTGCGTGCCTCGTTTTCACAATTAGGAGATTACGACGCACGAAACGACTCAGTCACAGCGTGTATTGAAAGCATAATTGAACGGGTTGTCACACTAATAGGACAGGGGTTCCAGTCCTCGAGGGGAAGTCACAGCGAGGACGAGCGAGGTGGTCCGCGAAATTCAGCCGATTTATTCCAAGTTCGGATTGGTGATATGTATGTGTGAGATAGATGAAAGGAATCGGATGAATTACCTGGACGGAACGCAGATGACTCTCGCCGGAAACGACCCGAGCCTTTCAATGAGGCGAGGGGAGTCTGAGCTCCTGCAGCGCGAGCTCAGACTCGCCTCAAATTGAAACAAATGGGCCGTCTTCTTTGTAAGTGCGGGTGAGAGACAAGGCGCTCGGAAATCTCGCTTTTCTGCTCGGGTCAGAGGTCAATACTTCTTCGGGAGGAGTACAGCGAGTCTGAGGAGCGTACCCAGCCACCGTTTACGTCGAGCGGGATCCTTAGTCAGTTGCGGTCGTTTTACTGTCGGGCCGAGTGCGGTTTCCGTAGCTGTGGAGTATTCCAGGGCTTATTCGAGAAGCGGCCGCCTAACGGATATTAATGAAACCGACACTCGAAGCTGCGTATCGTTCGTTCGGTTGGTCGTCGCTCCGGACTAATCGAATATAATTTATTCGAATAATGAA